TTTTAAATTTAAATGTGACAACCCCTGGCTACACATGAGCTTAAAGGAGGTCTGTCATATTTTGGACTCGGCATCACAAAAAAAAATCTGAGTCTCATTTTGTTTTCCTAAGAATCAGCATTCATCCGTGATTATTTTGCAAAAGTTTATTTTCTGTTTTGTCATCACTCAGTTTTTCATGCCTGAAGTCCACCTCAGCGATCGAAAAAAATTGTTTATCCTCGTTATATTAGAGGCATTGATAGTTCGATAGAACCAACTGCNTGGCTTAATTGGTATGATGAACATTACAATCAAATATGTTGACAAACAAAATTAGATTAGAAACTGTGTCTATCTGAGCCTAATGATCTTAATTTCAAAAAATGTATAAAATCATGTTACAACATGTATGTGATCATCATCTATTTTCGTAAACATGTTTACTATCTCTCAAAGCGGTACTTAGAAACAACGACCACGACTCGATCTTGATGGATTTTCTTATGTTAGGGATCGAATTACCAGCGACAAAATCTATTGGCGATGCATCAAGTACAAGTCTGATCATTGTCATGGTCGATTACATACTTGTCTGGAATCCAAGACAATTCTCAAACACCCTAGCGATCATATTTGTAAATTTGATGCTCCTGAAAATCAGGTACGCCAATTCTCTCAACAAGTCACTGCTCGTGCACTTAATACTCAAGAAAATCCTGATGTAATTGTAACTAATTGTTATAAATGTGAGCGCTACTTTATGAAAATTGTTTGTACGTTAGAGCTGTCTGATCCACCACTCGCCCGTCTTCCAGTTCGCGACAACATCAAGTGACGAATCCGAATGCTTCATCAAAACAACCGGATCGTCAAGGAACCCAACGACCCCCAATTTCAATCTGTTCCAACGCAACTCACCCTCAATCATCGCCAGGAACAATTCCTCCAGTGCGATATTGGCCTTGGTGAGTAGTTAACTTAGTTAGTGACAGATTAAATCGCTATTTTACCATTTTTTTCCAAGCGATGATCGAATTATTATCTTAGCAAGTCCTGAACAATTGCACGTACTACAAACTTCACAAGACTTTCTAGTTGATGGGACGTTCAAAGTAGTCCCAGAGATCTTCTACCAGCTGTTTATTATTCACGCGGTTTATTGCCAACATACTGTTCCCCGTGGTTTATGCGCGGCTACGAAGAAAAGACGCAGGTGCGTATACTCATTTATTTGATGAAATTGTAAAAATTGCTCCTAATTGGTTACCGGCATCGGTAATGATGGACTTTGAACAAGCATCAGCTAGCTCTTGTGAGAGGAAATTTCGTTTGTTTCCCTTTCTGGCTGTTACTTTCATCTACGTCAAAGTATTCATCAAAAACTGCAGATAGAAAGATATTATAATACAAAAAAACAATTTATTATCACTGTTTTTCGTTTTAGAGTCTCGGACACCAAGCTCAATATCAAACAGATTCAACGTTCGCGCATAACATCCATAAAATTGCAGCGTTGGCTTTTCATGATCCGAACTCTGCCCTCAACGGCTTCGAATCACTCTGTGAACGATTAGACGACCAATATGATAATATCCTTGACTATTTTGAAGAAACTTATATAGGTATGCCACTAATTAATTAACAAAATTAATTCAATAAAATGATTATTTCTACGTAGATAAATTACGATCGAATCTTGTTCGTCGAAAACCCTTGTTCGAGGTCAACTTCTGACGCATGCACCACCGTACAACTCAGCTGTCCATAAGAACCAACAACTCTGATGAAGCCTATCATCGATGTATCAACTCGGTCTTCCAATGCAGCTATCCTACGTTGTGGTTTTTCCTGCAGAGACTCATTGACGAAGAAAATGTGGTACACGTTGATCTCGTCCAAATCAACGCTGGAGAACCACCGAAGAAGAAGAAGATAAATCAACATCTTGAGAGATGCCTTCTGAATCTTCTCAACTCTCCTCACAATAATGTTTTAGTACAACTTAACTCCATTGGTTACCATATGACTTTGTAACTTTTTTTGTATTTTCAATAAAAATTTTAAAAAACTGAATCTAATTTCTTTATATATACTTACTATGTTATGATAACTGATAGACGTGCTCTAATTTTCAGTGTTCATCTTTCCTTTCGTTCATCTTTCCTGTGATTTTCTTTCCGTACTCATCTTTCACCAATCCGACTGAAATTGGGTTGCATAAGTAGCAAAATAGAACAAAAGTAATTTATCAGACATCGAATTTCAAGTTGAAAATTATTTCAATTGAAAGAACACATGGAATTACGTATTCTATTAACAAATCGCGCTGGTGCACCCATTACAAACGGTGACATCATAAGACCCGAAAAATAGCTCTTATTTCTAATAATATGACTCAATCGGGGCGGTATTTCGCATTAATCGATGAGATAAGAATTAAATGTTGAAGACGTTCTTTCAAATTCGGATTGAGAAAATAATTCAGCATCGAATCAGTCTATTCCTATTGAATAGCAATTGGATATTCATGTGCGTTTTTGGCAAAAACGCTTTTACGGCTTCCAGAAAGTGCTTCATACCTTTGTTATTGTCAGACAAGTTTTAAATAGTAATATGATATTTGTAATCAGCGCAGTTGGTTCTATCGAACTATCAATGCCTCTAATATAACGAGGATAAACAATTTTTTTCGATCGCTGAGGTGGACTTCAGGCATGAAAAACTGAGTGATGACAAAACAGAAAATAAACTTGTGCAAAATAATCACGGATGAATGCTGATTCTTAGGAAAACAAAATGAGACTCAGATTTTTTTTTGTGATGCCGAGTCCATAATTTGACACATCTTCTTATAATATTGATTATTTCCATTTTATTAATAATTTTTCAAAGATATGTTTTTATTAAGCAATCAGCATCAAAGAGTCGAATTTGCGTCTTTATGTATTCTTGTTAATACTAATTATTCACCATCTAGATGATATTAGAAGATCTGTTAGTGAAAACGTTTTCCTCACTATGTGACCTACTGCACAAAGTGTGAGCGATCATCAAGAGTCAATCTGATTGTCAAGACTAGGGCTCAATGAACAAAATTTGAAAAGAATAACAAATTTATTACATTGGATAGTGTTTATTTTGTCTGATGTGCAATGGTCATGCCAACCAGTAAGAAAGCATTCCTATATACGTATATTTGGTTTCAATAACTTGTCGTGTCAAGAGCAATCATAAAATATAACTATGATGATATATAGAGACTGTAGCATTTATTCGTACAAGTCACTCTACACATTCCGCTGATTCAATACAGTATTTGGTTCATTACTATACAGAACGAGCTTTCAAAAAACTACGCAATATCTCCAAATAATAAACGAAAAATTACTTCACAAAGAGTCTTGAAATTAAAAATATTCATAAATTTTGAGATCTATAAGGATCAAGATATACCTATTTCAGGTGAGCCGATGTCTAATTACTGTCCCTCAAAATTGCAGCAAACTGATTTCTTAAAATACACACTAAATTCCTCGTCAAAAATATTAGATTCAAAGGGCTCATATAACTAATGACTCATCAGGCTACAAAACTGACGGCCTATTCAATAGCCGACGACGTCCATCCTATATATGGACGAGCACCATAATTACATTGTTTTTCGAAGTTTTTTCGGAAAACGCTGGCTGATAGTTTTCAGCAATCTCAGTTGCCAGAAGATTTTGTAATCAAAGTGAAAATATATTTTAAGATATTAGCGATTGGTGGTTACTTTCGCTGATGAAATACAGTCTATATATCCACTTTTCCATAAAAATGCCCCAGAATGCCAGACTCTCCTTATGAATATTTTTTTTTCATTTCAAAAATGTTTCTAGACACTTCCATAAGATTCAGCATAAAAAATTGGCCATAGAACGGTATTTTGCATCATCCGTAGAGCGCTTTATCTGAGCTACCTGGCCTTTACTATGTATCTCGACATGTACCGAGAAATTGATCTGGAAGTCCAGAATTTTGATAATGAAAGCTAATTTTTTTTTGATCAATAATCTTTTCTGAAGTGGATCAGCAGTTTGATGGAGAAAAAAACTGAAAAAAAAGACTTTTCCCAAACAGTGGTTGGGTCTCCATGGATTTACCCGTTTCTTCTAAAATTCTGTAACAAGCATCGAAAAACGCAGAATTTTCTGGAGAATCTTGTGTGATAGTGAAACTCTCAGGAGAGCTTTGATTATAAAAAAAATTGTACTCGACGTTTTGTTCTTTTGACTATTGCAGTTGGCTGAGCGAATTGACGTGAATCTTTGAAATGTGGAGGCGATAAATAAAGCATGATCGAAAAACACAGTTGGCAGGTTTTTAGGGCACAAAATTCTATCGTTTCACTTTCAAAGAAAACATTCTAATGCAAAGCTATTAGGAGATAAAGGCACCAAGATTTAGTGCAACTACAACTGGGACACATGTTAATTGGACTTAATCTAGAAAAGAACTAGCCATTCGAAATTTGAGTAGTCACATTTTGACGGTTTCGAGACAGTTAGATAGAGTTCGTTGCGGCAATTCTACAAAATTGTAAAACTACGATTATATAGGATGTTAAGAACGGTATTCAACAAAGAAAACATTGAATATTTACACCATATTTCGATCTTATGAGCTGAAATTTTTATCCCCGATAGAGGAGTATTCATAACTGCTAGTCAAACGAGAATATTGCGAAGTCAAAAATAAATGGCATGCCTAAGTTTTCCGATTATATCTTTACAACGATGTTATTGGATCTCATATTTGTATCCAGAAAATAATGATATCATTTAGAGATTAATTGCTAATTCAGCAACATAAGAATAGACCGTTAGGTTTTCCATTCTCAACTGACTACTGTCTTGATCGCTTCTTGAGCCAAAAACAGAATATTTTTTTGGTATAAGCTTTATACAATAATAAAACAAGACAAACAAGAGAAAAACAAACATAAACATTGAACAAGCCAAATATCATGTGTTTATCGTTTACGAATTTTGACGAATTAAAATTAGATAAGGACAAAAATGTGTACTACTACTGGTCATCGACAGTTTTGTTGTGGATTGTGACGTAAAAAACTGATTCGGTACTGGTCGTAGAACATGACGTGATGTTGTTGTAAGAATTGACGGTAATTGAGGAACTCTTGGTTCTTGTTTACAATCAATATCACCAGTATTATCAAGTTGATCGATACCATCAGTTTTCGATCTTTTAGTCGTGGATGCAGATGAACTGATAGATTTTCTTTTTCGACGACTTGGAATTGTTCGACAAAGCATTTGTCGAATAATATCATTGGGAATACTGGTAAATAATGATGAGGTAAACCAAGGTTTAATTTCTGCCTAAAAAACATAACAATAAAGAATTCAGATAAAAATTGATTTAACTATCTCAGAACGATAGATCACTAGTAGAATATTAAATCTTACCTTAAATTTTCTAAAACATAATCGTTGCTGAGTAAATTCTTCTAATGCAATTTGTGCGATATTTTCAATCAATTCTGGTTTTTGATTAAACCATTGAAATTCTTCATCGGTTATTGGAAATGGTAAGCCACGTCGATAGAAACCAAACTGTTCTAAATCATGTTGAATTTCATTTGCATTATTACATAAAGATAATATATCTGTTGAATTTTTATTTATAAAATATGTATCATTATTATTCATTTGTCTATTATATAGAAATACTAGAAAAGATTTCATACGACTATTGGTTTGACAAAACCAATCCCATTGAGTTTTAGCTTTAATTAACATTCGATAACGAACAAGTAATGAATTATCAGTACGCGCAGAAAATTCTTTTGCTATCATCGACCATTTTGCACCATGTAAAGCATATTGTTCAAGTAGAAGACGATCTTCATCAGCTGTAAATAATCGATGCTTTTCTTTTGTAGTACGATTTCCATTTTTTATTGTATCTAAAACACGTTCACGGCATTGCCGTGATGAACGTGTGTGTACAGGAGCGGAAACTAGTGGCCAATTGGTTATTTTATGTGTTTGTTGATGTATATGTGTTAGTAATTGTGCATGTTCAACATCAGACCAACGACCACGTTTACATGATGGATCAATATGTAACCATTGATTATAAATAAATTCACGTGTACGATCACCAAGTTCATATGCTAATTTATTATATTTTCTATAGTAACCTTGTTTATCATCTTTCATATTTGATATGATTTGATTGCGTTCATTTATTTCTAATGGTCGTTTCGAATGTTTGTCATTGGTTATCTTAATGAAAAGAAAGAAAAACAAACGAATTATTTTTGTGAAAAGACTTCGAAAAAGGAAAAAGACATAATTCTTTTACTTAAAATAGGTCGTCTTTGGCATGGATGATCCTGATATTATAAAAAATCATATAACGAGCTGTGCGAATTTGAAAGATAATAGTTGTTTTGATCTTTTCTTTCTCTCTGAGGATCGATTTGAAGTTATAAGAAAAAAAGAATTGCCAGCTGGAATAGGGTTTAATTCATGCTTTCATAATATGTCTGATTTTAATCGATTTCAATGTATAAAATCATGTTTTGTGACCATTCAGAACGCCACTATTACATTGGGGAAAACAAACAGAAAAGTTCATTCAACAAGTGTATGTTTTTTCTTTCAAAATTTTTGTGTGTTCTAATCCAAATATGCTGTTCCCTTACAAATGCAACTTACTTCTGGACCGGATTTAATTTTTTTTCAACCTACTTTTTTTTCCCAAACGGACAATTCTATATGAAGCTGAAGAAAATAAATCATGAGATATATATATTTATATATATATAGCCTACTTGTTCTTCTTTCTCATAGTCCATAACATATTTATTTATATACAATTACTTTAGTTTTTTTGGTGGGTATTTGATTGGTGAGAAAAGATGTGTTCTGTGTGAACTCTCACTCTAGAAAATGAAGCGTGAATTATTTTTTTCCTTTTTACCTGCATATAGCGTTTTGCACAGAGATACGCACTTCGATCCGTTCCTAATTCTTTTGCAATCGATGTCCACCGATCAGCACTTAATGGTTCGCGTTCAACAATTGATAATAAACGACGATCTTCTTTATTGGACCATTTCGATTGGTTGATTCTGGGATTACAAACTTGTTTCCAGGCATTTTCACATACACCGGCTGACCATTTATTGCTTAGATGATAACTGGATATATGATTCCAATCAAGATTAGCCTAGAAGAAAAGCCGAAATGAATTTTCTCCATTCATACATTTGCAAAGAAATATGTTGATCTTGGTTGCTATGACAACACGTTCAACAATCTTTAGTCTTTCGTTTCCAAAGGAAAAAATTGCAAACAAACATATAGTTAAGCCTCATGGAAATTTTTACTGGAGATATTTCAATATATTGTTGACTATGTTCCAAAAATGACTTACCTCTTCTTGTAATGTCTGTTTAAGTTCATCATTAACAGCTTTGATTAACTGTTCTCGACAATGTACAACCCACATTTTTTCATTTAATTTTGCACAACCATACTCTGATTGATGATTTGAATATGTCGATGGAAACGAAGAAGTTTGTGTGATTAATTGTGCGAACGATATTGTCTTTGGCTCAAGTCGATTATTTGATATACATTTAACAGAAGGACGAGTAAATAACGATGTAAATGTTAAAGAACGTGATGATAATGATGATGATGATGATGATGATGATGATGAATTCACTGGACGTAAACGTTTAAGAATCGATCCTCCACCATGCGAAAGAATCTTTTGTTTTTGTTCGATATCTGCTAATAATTTATTTAAATTTCTTAAATAGATTTTTGACGATCCTGTAAAACGTGCTGTTGTTGTTACCGAACGAGAGTTTGGCGATGTTTGAAAATTGTACAACGATGATTCTCCACTGCAACTACTACTACTATTAGTTAACATCGTTTCGAGTTTCTCAATATCCAAAAGTATATTATCCGGCATAAACGATGACATTTTGTTTTTCGTTGAGATAAATATCTAAAAAAAAAAGAAACAACGTTGATTATATATTTATATAGATTGTTTAATATAATAAACGATTAGGTATCAGAGACCGAAATCGAATCGAATTGTCGAATAATTCGATTCGATTCGATTCGCCCCAGACGAATCGAATCGACTCCGAATGGAACTTCGAAGCTACCGAATCGAATCGAATGAATAAAAAAATTGGAAAAAAGCCGAATCGAATCGAATGATACTTCTAAAAAAGAGGTCGAATCGAATGGGACTTTTGTCATCGGTTTCGGTCTCTGTTAGGTATACATGAAAACGCTCAATTTTATATATGCTTGAATGTATGTTTGAAAGAAATATATAGCACGCACGTCTACAAAACAAACAATGTTTCTTTCTTTCTTTTTGAAGTTTTGCTATCTAAGCATACGTTAATACAAATATCATAGAGACTGAGTGTGCAAGAAAAAACAAACAAACAAATCATTGTTATGGATTAATAGATAGATAGATTGATACATAGAAACACAACACCCGTAAAAGAATTTTTGGAAGCTAAATGATGCCCGACGCAAAGAGAGTTACACGAGAGAGAGAGCGAGCTTCAAGCTACGATTATTTTTTGTTGATTTTGTTTTTCAAAATTACTATTTCACACTGATACAATAATAAAAAGCACATAAACTACTATCTTTCCTTATTCATTAAGAGAAAGATAAAACAAAAAAAAATTGAAAAGTATAGAGGAGTTGCAGATCACTAGTAATAACACACGCACAAAAAAACAATGTTCAATAACAATACACACCATAATTACACATCAAAACAATAAGAAAACGATTATGTTAGGTGAGATGCACTAGAGAGAGACCGTAATATGTCTATGTACATTGCAACACAAAAAAATATATATATATATATCTATATATGTGAAAAATCTAACAATCATGGTTAAATGAGAATAAAAAGAAAGAATTTTAGCCAAGCCAAATAGGATGAAAGCAGGATGGTAGTGGAATCATAGTAGCTGCTTAAATTATGAAATAAATTCTTATAGTAATTTTGTTTAGATTTTAAATGAGAAAAATTTACCTGCAAAAATCACGACCCATTTTAAACCAAATAATGGTTGACAATAAATATGATGTTGAGCTTGCTGTTGCTGAGGGGATTGAGCTTGTTGAGTATTGGCTGCACAAAAGCCTTTGATTAAAGAGCAAAATGAAAATATTATTTATCGAAGTAAAATAATTTAGCTTAACTTACGAATAATGCCTGGTGGAATAGGTCGATAAATTGTGGGCGGAAATGGATGAAATGTAGTTGATGTATCTGGAAAAAGCAATCGATGAGTTGGATGACCGGGTGGAACCAACGGAAATAGAGTAGGATGGAAAAAGGGGGAAGACTTCATTTGATGACGGAGTGTTGCTTGCTTTTGAGCATACATTATCCGATAGAGTTTATACCAATTTTTATCGTGTGGTAAACTTTCTGAAGTATGCGGAATTGAAACTAAGGCTAAAAATATTTTCTTAGTATTTGTTGATAGAATTAAAAAGTTGATTCTTACCAGCTTTTTCAAAATCTCGAATACATAAGTCATGCCAAAGTAAATTGTCATTTAATGTATTGTGAATATCACGACATGTAGATTGTAAAGCAAGTAATGATTTGATCGGTAGATACTTAGCTAAGCGAAGCTAAAATAATAAAAATTGAAATATTTAATAAATAAACAGATTAGATCTTTCATTAGATGTGACGATGGCAAAGATCAGTTTACAATCGTTTTTTTAATATACAGATCATCAATAATAAAACAATCTGCTTGATGTTATTCGATTACAAATCCTGTATCTCGTCGTCTTTAATGTTGTCTCGACCTTCACGAGGTCTTATATATATATATATGTATCGTATTTCAAATATTCTTGAAGATGAGGTCTATCTGTCACAACAGAATCTAGTGTAACATGGACTGAAATTTCTCTCTAACAATTAAAATAAGAGATGAATATTTTTGTGACAAACAGTATGTATTAGAGAAAAACTATTCGTAATCATACTGTTCCTGATGTATAGAAAAGTGCAAAGGATGAACTTACTTTAATTTCATTCGGTAATCCGATTAGCGTTGCACTTGACCGTTGACCTGATTCTAGAGGGAAAAAAAACATACAAAACTAATAGAAATAAAAGTCATTGATTTTGATGTTTAACCTTCTAGTAATTTGCATAAAAGTCGATTGGCCAAATTGTCTTTAAACGATCGTGATAGCGTCCGAAGGTCATGATAAGGTAGAACTGCATTTAAATTTGTTGCTATAAAACAGACAATTGAACAATTATAAGAGAACAAATTCTACATCGTCGAATTTCAGTAGCTTTTATTTTCTTAAGAACGTTGTGTCAAATTTATGTGATTATTAATTCTGAATAATTTTACAAGAAATTCGATCTCAATTTATACTGTCTTAACTCAAAACCCGTCAGAATGATGATCATCTACATTCGTTTCATTCAAAAGTTGTAGAAATTCTCAATCTATTAATCACTATAGATACTGAATTGTAACCATCGTGTTCAAGTTCTACTTGAAACATCAATGGTCTCAGTTTAACATCGATTAATTAATTGGGAAGATTTTCTAAGAATTTTCACAAGATCAATGTAACAGATAGCGATACACTAGCCGGTTCACATTGTCTTCCTCCTCCAAAGTTATGAAGCTCAAAACAAATATTGACACCATACCTCATAACTCAGTATCAGCTCAAGTAAGCGGAAAGCGATTAAATCTATTGACGTACACTTATGATAGACTATGAACATTAAAATCTTTATCTCTTAAAAATGAAAAAATGCCATCACATGTAATATATTTTATTTTACCTTCTTTTTGTGTATACAAATAATTTGAAATATTAAATGATAATTTTCCGCAAGCTTGTGATATTGAATTTACAACACCTGTTGAAATAAAATTGCAAAAAAAAACAAAAACAAAATGATTGTTAAAACTTACCATCAATCGTTACTAATGAATCTGTTTTCATAATTGCTAATGAACATCTTATACGTTCTTCTTCACATAATTTATGTCGATAACGAATAACATAAAATGTTGATGATTTTCGTGCGATGTTTAAATCATAATCATTTTCCGCATCCTAAAATAAAATATAATAAATACATTCGAAAATTAAAAAATAAACTAATTGTTCATTTTTCCTACCATTTGAAAGCCACTTTCCAGCATTAGAGCATGTATAGTCAAAACAATAAAATCAAAATCATCTTGCGGATGTGATTGTTCAACAAGACGATGCACTAATAACGGATATGTATGAAGATCTCGTACTTCTTCAAGTGTCAATGGTTGATCCAATGATAATGATGGTATTGATCTATTATTGATTTCATTTAATATGTGAATGGCATCTCTCGTATGAAGATTGTATTCTGACATTTTCTTTTCTTCATCTAATTTGTTGATACCATCGATTGATAAATGAAAATTTGACCTGAAAATAAAAAAGGAAAATTCTTGTTTTTTTGATCATCAATAAAAGAAAAATCAACATTTACTTTCTCAAGGATAAAAAACGCTTTTTAATTTTATTTTTTAATTCAAGTATTGTTATTTCATCATTAATATCATCGAATGTTATTGAATACGTTTGACAATTAAATTTAAACCGAAATTTCATGGTATTGAGTAAAATAAACAATAAAAAAAAAAGGAAGAACGTGACGAAACTTTCCTTTTTTGCAGCTAGATAGCGCTGTTTCGCTTGTCTTCTTGTTTGAATGAATCAGGGCAATGAATTCACATAATCATTTTTTCATTGGCTCGAATAAATTAACCAATCAGATAAAGTCATGTCGCTGCCATGCCATGTCTTTGTTTTTTTCCTCTTTATTCATATATCTCATTAGAATTTTATAGGCGCAATATGAGTGACCGAGCGGTAAGTACAAATAAAACAAAAGAATTTGTCCTTAATTATGACGTGATTTATTCAAATAATTTAAGCATTCAAAAGATCGAGAATCCAAACGCTCTCGACATCGGTCTGCTTCAAATCGATCACCATCACCAAAAAGATAGTACGTTCAGTTTTATTCTTTGGTTTGTTGGAAAATTTTCGGAACAAACGGACATTTTTTTCTGTGACTGCAAAGAAGTTTTCAGATTGAAACTGATTACAATTTTTCTAATGAGACTTTGATATTCCCAATGAATCATCGTTTATGCAAGACTTGTCCAGAATGATTCATCATATTTGGAATATACTAAGCAAAGGCACGTGATTGAGATTGGCATACAAATACGTTCTCAAAGTATACGAGAAAGTGGGGGTTAAATAAACAAGCATACATGCGTTTCATGTAAATGCCATACAGTGATTCGCTCTCTATTCTAAACTCCTCGGCGGGGATCTTGAGCATAGTTTAGGTACAGAATATTTCTCTGATTATTTAGTTTATTTGGATCACTAGTAGAAAAAAGTATCGAGTCCAATTGATATGATTTATTTTTCAAATAGTTCTCGTTCACCTTCACCTCATCGATCAAAACGCGGTTCACCGGATGGCCATCGTCCACAAAATGAAGTTCATCGAGAAAATCCAATTCCGAGTGCAGTTCTCGGAGTATTTGGACTATCACAATATACAACTGAACGTGAACTTCGAGGTTTGTTATAACCATTGAAATTCGATTTAAAAAAAGATTTTATTGTTAGAATTATTTCATAAATTCGGCCGTATAAAAGATGTTCAAGTTGTGATCGATAAGAAAACAAATAAATCAAGAGGTTTTGGTTTTGTGTATTTTGAAGAAGTCGATAGTGCTATCCGAGTATGAATAAAAATCAAAAAAAAAATTGCAAAAAGTTATTCTTATAATTTTAGGCAAAAGAAGCACTTAATTCAGTTGAACTTGATCATCATCGTTTACGCATTGATTATTCAGTAACAAAACGTGCACATACACCAAGTAATGATTTTTACTCGGCGGTCTTCTTTTACTAAGTTTTTGTTTTTCTAATAAAAGCTCCGGGAATATATATGGGTGTTCGTACAACATCATATCATCGTTCGAATGGTCATAGTTATCGTCGTTCTCCATCATCAGATAGAAAATATCATCGTCGGCATCATCATCATCATCATCATCATCGTCGTCGTCATGATTATTCGTCGAGGTTTGTTGACATGATTTGATTGATTAGGTTTATATCATAAATATTGTTTAGATCGCGTTCGCGTAGTCGCAGTCGATCAAGATCTCGACGTGGTGACCGTCGGCGTCGAAGTCCTGGCTATGCATATGATTAAAACGAAGTAGTAAGAAATAAAATATTTAAAAAGTCACTTCATTTTTTCTTATTTTGTTATGATAGGTATATGAGTTGAATCTCATGTGGGTGAGTGTGTTAGTCTTCATTCTGTCTTCGCTTTTTTTTCTATGAAAGAAAAACATGAAAAATTTTCTTCTCTACAATTGTGCTTACTCATAGATGTTTTTCGTTTCTTATATGTTTGTGTATGTGTTTCTGCGCTACACTGATCATTGATTTCTGTTCTTGAACGAGAGAATTCTCAAATTTGATTGTGTTTTTTTCTTGTCTCTTTTTCTCTTCATTCTATGTGTATCAAGAAAAAGAAAAGAACGTATATAAACAAGAAGTGAAGACCTTTATTATGAAGATACAAGTATATTGAAGATTGTTCCCGAGAAGAAAAGAACTAAAAAGCTTGTTCCTAAGATGGATATTTGGATTGCTCTAAATCGATGAAGAATTTCTGAAGGAAAACGTGAGTCATTGATTATTTATATTTGCTAATCGCTTTTGCGATAAAAATTTATAAATAAAAATATACGCTGTTTAATCAGCATCTGTGACAGAAGTAAATATATTGTGTTCTCTTTAATATAATCAAGATAAAAGAACTTGGTGTGAATCAATTAATCATAAGGACAAAATCCAAGTAGGTATGAGTTTTATACTATTGAAATAGTTACAAACACGTGCAGAGTATATTTCATCTAGGTTGATTGTTTGTTTATAACAGAAATTTCAGCTTCATAGCGTGTAAAAATGGAAACAAATTCTTGTCTCTTCGAATGCTTGAAATATTCTTCAGAAAATATAAAATATCTAATGTTCAATATCTAAGAGGACTATTGCTCATGGTTCATCCTTCAAAAATGATAGCGATTTTTATTGAATTGTGTTCATAGATAATTCTGAATGGGCCTTTAGATATCTTACTAGTTTTTTTTCGTGTGAGTTCACTTTTTCGAAAAACATCTAGCGATGAATTGAAAATTCCGTAAAGGGTATGGGTAGAAAGAAAGCTACCTGCATTCACACCCACACCCTCATATCTCCGTTTATGCTGAGTCAACGATGTTGGCTCATTTTATTTCAGTTCTTATCAATAGAAAACACGTGATGCCAAATAAAGAGCGTTCTAGAGGTACATTAGTTATTGTCTGAGTTAGAAGCAGTTGTAAACTAGACAAAATGATGCAACTGCAACGAAGAGAAATATTCAAGTCTCTACTAGAAAGAGAAGTATTTATTTACCCCGAATGGAAACCCTATGTTTCCAAGGTTTTTGATGCTGGCATTCTATCAACTGAAATATTGATGGATACACCACGTGAAGTGATAAGCAGGTTACAATCTATACCACAGGCTCCATTGGACCGCTTAATAAAGTTGGCCACGAATCTACTTGAAATGACGGTAAAGAATCTTAACAGTACATATTCCCAACCGCTATCGTCAAATCGTCTCGTCACCGATTTTGAGTTTGTTCCTGCTTTTACATATCTACAATATTTGAAATCCACACCATTAACTGACAAAGAAAATGAATTGAAAAGGGCAATTGCAAAGGTAGACAGTATTGATTATGCTACTGATGGTTTATTGAAACATGAAGCGGTATTTCTCGCACTTTATTGCCAAGAATCAAGCAATCGATGTGAATCTTTTTATACGGTAGTAAATCGAGCTGTCAAAAATCGCGACAGTGAAAATTTTCTCAACTCGAGATCAGCACTCTATATATTAGACTCCTGTTTTCGTCATCTTCCATCTATTGAAACAGTAGCATGGCATGGAATGAATACAGCTCCGAACTTGTCAAAATTTCAAATTGGCGGTACCGTTTGTTTTAGTGGTATTTGTAGTTCATCCACTGATAAAGATGTTGCTGCAACATTGATGGAAATGGTACCCCGCAGTCCAGATCATAAAAGAACCCTATACAAACTGAATATCAAGAAGGGAAACTCCATTAAGACATACAACGCATTTGGAGATAAAAAAGAAGTTGTTGTTGGATTTTGTTCCAAATGGAAAGTTTTGTCTGTTGAAACAAATAAGTACGAACTCTTCTCGTTTGGTGAATATCAATGTGATTATTTTGTTGAACTTGAGCAGCTCGATAGTGAACCACTTTTCGCTGCGAATCTCAAGCTAATGGGTTTAGATTTACTGGCTAAAATTGATTATCATTCATTGGACTCTATAATTGAAAATAGTTTAAATGTATTCATGGTGGATTTTATTTCTCAATTGGATGATCGAGCCAAGAAGATATTGCAACAACACTTACCACAGTATTGGAAAGAAATGTCTGATTGTTTTAAAGATTGTATACTGTATAATGTTGATGCACGTGAACAATTGAAAAATTGTTTAGTTGGCTTGTCTAGTTTAGTTGAGGAATTTGATAGCAATATGATAGACGTCAAGCGTGGGTTATTTTTATGCGATAGACATGAAATCTATAATAGTTTCGATCTACTTTACGTGAAGACTGGTGAAGTTCGATCTATCAATGATTTCGTTAGTATGGGATTTACAAATGCGGAAGCTGAAAAATTATTTTGTCAAGAGGAACATCGAGAGGAGCTCGTGCGCTATTATGCCATGGCTAATTTTAAAGGCACATTTGATTCTCCAAAAATCGTGTCTACCTTAATGAAAAATTTAAGATTAATGCATTATATAAAACGTGATGGATTAGTCATAGGACTGTCAGGTTTAGCACGAATCTCTGTTAGAGGTGCTAAATATGCTCTTACAGGAAAAGAGTTGGGATATTTTCAATTGCTAAGTTATAGAATCATGAACAAAGTATTCATCTATAATGCAGGTCCGTCCGATTATATCGTTGCAGGAGTAATATTAGCCATACAAGTTGGATCTTACTCATTACAGTTATGGCATGGCGATATTACATCAAAACAATTTTTAAAAGCTATCTGTGTTTCAGTAGTTGATACAATAGCTGGATGTTTCGGTTCAGCGGCAGGAATGTTAACCGGTTATGTTCTAGCAACTTTGATTGGTGGCCCTGTTACGACAAGCATTGCAATTGGAACAATCGTTGGTGGTTGTCTCGTTGGATATGGTGCACAAGCTTTGTCTCGATGTTTCATAGAAAAATATTGTTGTGATGGAGACGAGGAAGAAATTAACGCACAACGTAAATGGTATTTAAATGCTCTGAATGTATTAAATTGTCTACCAGACACTACACTGGATAATGTTAGACGAAGTTATTATCGGTTAGCGCAAGCAAATCATCCAGATAAGTGTCCAGATAAAGAAGCAGCAACAGCAAAATTTCAATCGATTGTTGTAGCATTTGAAATTGTAAAAAGTTATCATGAAGTGTTGAATGAATCATGTGAGATACTAAATATGAAACTGAAGGATATCAATGTCAATGTTTTGGAGCAATGGAAGGCAAAGAATACACAAGCAATACAGAATAATGAAAAAATAAGTAGAGCGTATCGTATTGTTTACCGACAAGTTGCATACACAAGCGACAATTGGAAAGGTCTTCGAGCGTGGCTTGATGGCGATCAGAAATTGAGTTTACAGAAGCCTATGTTAGCGATCCCTTTTTCAACATAAGCTGAAATATGTTTGTTTTAAATAAACTTCTTCAGCTATCGCAGTCATTTTTATATGTTGTGACGGAACCTTTTTTGTCTCTTATGCAAAGCACAAACAAAATGAAATAGACGAAGTCGATATTTTCAGGTTTGTTTTTCGAAGTAATATCTAATCATTGCCCTATCTTCAATCCGCGAATGGGTAATAATTTAATCGTTGTCTAAGATCGTTTTATTCAATATAAACGGTGAGCAAGAATAGGTATCCTTTACTGTAACGCTCACACTTAAGAGCGCGTATTGTTTTGTTCTTACAATGTATTTTGTCCTTTCTCTATGTTTTGCATTTATTTTGATGTCCTTAGCGGTTGTCGTGAACTGTCATCTGCTTTCGTTCTCTTGGATGGTTGAATATTTAAATGTGTGCCTTTTGTGTAGTCGGTACGATTCATGATATGAAGAAATGAAATAAAGCATGGTTCCATCAATGCAAGCACTTCTTCTGTCAAAATTCGTTACAATTACCATTAAATTTTTCTAATGGGGTTACAGATATTAAGCTCGAACGAAATGACTCTACGAGTTTTAATCCACTCACTAGATTCTTTTTACAGTACAGATATATTCAAGAAAGTTGAGGTTTTGAACACAAGAGTTTTCAAAATATGATTTCATTATTAGTTTTCAAGATGGGTGTGAGTGGATGATTGTGGATTGAAGTTAGGATAAAGACAAAGAGAAGAACCGCACTCACACCCCTCACTCTAATTTTGTTATAATTTATTTTGATCTGTGGCGAAATTTATAGAAATTTCAAGCTTGAATGATTTTGTTCATTACTGCTCATGACAATTATGATCAAAAGCTCTTTCAGGTATCTTCTAAAACGCCATTCAACAGAAATCAAACAAAGTTCCTCTTTCATCTACTTTTCTGTTTGTCTACTATTTGCTCTCTTCATCTAAAATTCCTAATCCATATTGATCTTACTTGTTTTTTTTTAATTTTTTTTTTTCATTGCCCATTGCCCTGAAGAGTGTTTCAATAGTTTATTAAATGAGTAACACGAAGTATATTGGCAAAAATAAAACTCTGTAATTACTTAACTGCTCTAAAGCAAGCACATAAATTTGTAATTTAGTTAAAACGCCGTCGACAAAGTTGATTACTAATAAAGCAAAAATTGAAATTAGTAAATTAATTTATCTTTTTGCTAGAAGATAAATCGATCTTTTTATGAATTACTCTATATACACAACCAGCACCAACTGAAAATAGATTAAATTTTTTTTGTCATTTTACGATCAGTACTGAAAAGGTACATAAAAAAATTGACGTCATCTGATGATTGTTTTAGTTAGCATGAAATCGCAATAGTATTGGCTTGATTAAACATATCCATACCGTCAAGTACTGTAGCCTCTCTCCTTTCTAGATAAATTATCCAATATCATTTAACAAAACGCGTTGTTCGTTCATCTTGTGATGACAAAGTTCATGATGTTTTCAACTAAATAATGTGTCACAACAATGATCATTCAATTTTAGTTCGAAATTAATGAATTTAATAATCGCAGCGATTATAGGCATTTAGATAAGTTACGCACACCCAAGACGAACAGTCGACACTTTTCAGCCAGGCTACGCAGCAACAAGATTTACTATTATCAATTCACACATACTACACCACACCCTAATTTATTGAATTTATTGTCTTTATCAAGAAATAGGCAGATCTGTTTTCAATAGAGTAAAATTGAAAAAGAAACGAAAACAACGAAAGGCAAGATTCATCATAATTCGTGACTTTTCGGCTTTGCTTGTGTTATATGTGGCGTTCAACGAGGTTGAGAAGCAACTATTGATACACCAAGTTTTACATCTAATATTAATTGAAATAAAAATTAGAAAATAATAATAGCGAATTATTTGTGACAAACCCCGTTCACGCATTTCTTTTGTTTCTTGACAAATTCCGAGCGGTCATTCGATGGATATTTCGACCAGTCGATTGGAGGTTGCCGTTTCCATCGAAATTTAAAACGTACTATTCGGATTCCCATTTTCTGATGGGTTGATGGCTCGGCGATGGGTTAGCAATACATCGAGTCGTCGAAATCTATCGATTAAATGTCGAGGAGAATACATAAGTTGAATAATCGTTGAACATCTAAACTAAATATGAACTATGTTTCTTCGGTGAAAATTATCTTTCAACGCTAAGAAGAATAGTACCTAAAACCTTTAAATATTTACATGAAGTTTTCGAATATTACAAAAAAGGTTAAAATGGAAAAAAATATTCATCTGTGATGTGTGTAATTAATAAATCAGCTTTTCTTCAAATTTCAGATGCTGCATAAGTAGCTCATTTAACAAAGAATTTAATTTCGTGATACAATGTAAAATTAATATTTTTATATGTTTTATCAGAGATTCATAACACAATATTCGTTCTGAATTTGTTGTTGATAAATAGCGTTTTATATACGAGTCGTGCATGTCATTTTTTATTGTTTAATATTAAACGAATTTTAGAAAATTACTAAATTAAGGATTCAACACAAATCCCATGTTGCGAATACCGGATCATTTTTTGCGGTAAACCGCGGTATTTATCCGTTCTGCGGTAATGGGAGCCGGTAACCGGATCGGTAAAACCGCGGTTAACCGCCGATTTTCATGTGGTTTTTATTACATGGGATCATTTTTATAATTTCATTGAATAAACTAGGTATTTTTTAATCTTTTTTGAACAAGTTGCATAAAAGAAACATTAAGTTTATCACCTGAAACTATCGTTTTCCAAGGTGTTTTCCTACCCGAGTGCTATATATCATTCTTCGGATAGGTTTCTTTTTCTTTAGTACTCGAAATATTCCGATGAGTGACAAGGGATCTAACAGTTCTTGAGGAGTCAAAAACAGATATCCGATAGGGCAATTTTCGAGTACTCAGAATTCGATGGTTGCTGAGGGGCTCGAAATCAAAACAGAACGAACAAAAATGATATAGTTTATATTTTCGACCACTCGTCGCACCCATCGTAGGCTTTTTAATGTCTGTTTGGGATACCACAAGCACTACAACAGCATGTAACAAGTAAACCATTTGATTCTTCTGCGATTCTGTATGCATCACGAAGTGCTGCTTTCTGAGGTTTCTGAACAACACAACCGATATGATACCCTGGGGACAGCGCATAAATTACGCACGAGGTAATTTTGTTTGATTCATCCGTTTGTTCGGCATTTTGACCAAATAAATAACAAGGGCAGATACACCCAATTAAACATGTTGGTATATCATCGAAACAGCTACATAATCCGTCTAAAAATATAGAGAAGTATCTAAATAGAATATCAGTGGGTAATCTAAATGACAACATATCTTACGTTTCCACTGTGCCATTAGAAATAGGACTATTCACAAATTATCAATTAAAAGAGGAAGAGATATACCTACCATCCACAAATTGGAAACTCAAGGTGTTTGGAGCACCCATCTCTGGACTATTATGTGTTAGTCTTTGTAATTCCACCAATGAAGTTTAGTGTGATAGTGTTTATCGCCCTTTCGTTGTAAAATCTCTTGAGTTCTCATGAATTTCCAATATCTGGATGGTGGGTACTGCTAAAATGCCCATGTTGCGAATACCGGATCAATTTTTGCGGTAAACCGCGGTATTTATCCGTTCTGCGGTAATGGGAGCCGGTAACCGGACCGGTAAAGCCGCGGTACACCGACGGTTTTTTGCGCATGTTTATTACATGTGAAAGTAAAAAAAAAGGATCTTTAAAATAGTTTAATTGATGATTTGGAAGACTTTTTCTGTCAAAAATTATAGATGAACCGGTTAACCGCTTTTTTTTAGCGGTAACCGCGGTATTAATCAAAACCGGCGGTTTACCACGGTAAATGCCAGTTCATTTGTTGTGGTAAACCGCGGTATTTATCCGTTCTGCGGTAATGGGAGCCGGTAACCGGACCGGTAAAACCGCGGTTAACCGCCGATTTTCATGCGGTTTTTATTACATGGGTATCATGAATTTACTGCGACGGGTCTAGGATTTCCAATTACAGTTCATCGTTTTACGCAGGACGGTCATTACAATCTCTGTAATGGTCAGAAAAAGCAGTTTACGATCGAGCTTGTTTGATCTGGAAATGAAATGAAAAAACTAATATACCAGTCTACCATAGTCTACGATGCCTGGATCGAGACAAGGTATCAGTGTCCTCAATCAAGCGGGTCCCATTGTCCGTATCCCAATCATTGTGCTATGAGTTATTCAAGAGAATTTTTATCTCTAAAAAATTGATTGTTTGTTATCTGAATATTGCTTATGTTTTTAAATTTAACCTTTTGGATCAAAAAAACTTTATACCATTGCTACTTTCAAACTACACTGAAGCAATAGAATGTAATTTGGTTGCGAATTCTCTTTCTTATATATACTTCAATTTTTTTTCTGTTTTTTTTCAGTCTTTTTGTGTTAATGTATGAATGTGCGAAACACGTGAAGAAAATAAAGTGAAAACACATTGCAAGAAAGAGAAAAATATATGGACCAATCGCCATCAAGAGCATCTATTGAAGATGCAAGTTACTCAGCTAAATAATTGATTAAACAGCAAACATAAAATAGCACGATTGCCAAGACAATCCCTTACATGGTAATCGTAACTATAGTCTCAAGTGAATGTTTTTTAAATAATTGCATGTTCCGCCCAGGTCAATGATTTCGGTGGACGGATACCGTAGGAACCGACCGAAAAGATGCAGAAAAATCACCGTATCTGGCCGGAAATCCCGGGAAAGAGTTGGAAAGTGGGAGCAGTATTTCGGTCGGAAATTATCAGATTTTTTTCTATGCATTCCGGTTAACTTTCAGCTGGAAAACACAGGAAACTGACCAGAATCTATAGGGAAAAAATTCGGTAATTTTCAACTAGAATACTGCTTCCACTTTCCAGCGATTTCCCGTGCTTTCCAGCTGTTCCACACGTGCCTCTACTACCTGGGAGAAGAGGGAAAAGCATTATCTGCTCGAAAATAGTGTTTTTATTAGTTTCAGCCATGGAGCACACTCTAAAAAAAGCTGTTAGCGCAATCCCTGTGGGATTAAAATGTGAAACACGATGAGACTCCTTTGCTGGNAGTTGGGGGGGGGCGGGGATGGGCCAAATTTCTACCATATATATTTTAACAATCCTTTTAGATTGTGTTTCACAAAAGTAGGTTTAATACAGAACTGCAGTGGCTCAATACATTTGATCTAAGTGGTTTTAAGTTCGGTAAAGTGAAAATCGTTTCGTAGTAATTATACAAAACTTTTCTAAGCTCAGAAGAAAAGGTAGGATTTTGCAATTTTTCAACCAAACTTTCTGCTGGTTGCGCAAACTGGCCCATGGTTTCACACTTAAAATACTAATCCATTATTAGTTTCTCAGAATTAAACAAAGTTTCGTAGTATATTGACCAAGTGACTGATGATTCCGATTTCTTATCGAAGGTTCCGTCCTTCTTACTCTGAGTAATGAGAGATTTCGTACAATAGTAGAAGGTTTAGAATTGTTTGTACTGAACTTTTCATCTTCGTATTATTTATCTTATGGTTTCGCATATTTTCCACGAAAAATTTCAGTTTCATAAAGGTGATTGGTGGTTTCGCACAAACTATACGAAACGATTTGTAGTTTTGTACACGTTCTGGTGGTTTTACAATTTTCCTAAAATAACTTTACATTTTTTCTTAAAGCGTTGTTAGGTTTCATAGACTTCGTCCAGAACCATTTACGGTTTGTGCGTGTATGCATAGTATTTTATCCTTTTTTGTATCAATAAAGAATGGTTTAGCGCCAACTTTAGCAAATGACTCAATAAAAAAGATTTCTTTTTTAGAGCCGGTTGAAAAAACAGAAAAACTAATTTCCAAAAGCTAACGTAGCGATTCGATCAAGATACTTAATAGATCTTTTTTCACTCAGATATCGGCAGTACAAATCTCATCTCCCTTGTCCATACTCGTGTAAAAAGAAAAGAAAGAAATGCCACTTTTCATAGCCAATTCACTGTACAGTCATAAATTCATGCTACACTGAAAATGTTTTTTAATATTAATTTTGTAGAAAGTCGACCTTAAATAAGCTAAAGCATTTTACAAAATTTTATAATTCATTCGTCGAATTTTGAAAGTGTAGAAAGTGTTTGGTAGTCTACAAGGTAGCATTGCAATCTGATTTTCCGGAAAAATTGTTTTTCAAGATATTGGAAAATCAATTTAGATTCTATGAAAGCTCAGCAATCAGTTACTGATTTTTGAATAATCATTTGAACAATGACAGCTATAGAGTCATTATTTGGCCGTGTATATAAGTCAGTCGACAGTTCGTTCATTCTATATGAACAAGAGCATGGTGCCGAGTTTTTCTCTTATGGCTCACAAGAATATTAGAGATAGAATTTTCTGAATATAAAATCGATATCTGTAATCTTTCACGTTTTTCAAACTGTATTTGGGCTGTTACGTAGTATTTTTATCTTTAAGCTTGAGAATTGTATTTTGAGTATTTGTTTCTGATTAAAATGTTTTTAAATCGTTAAATTGTTTTTCTTGGAAATTTTTTCTCTTCATTGCTCCCTGAAGGAGTATTTTTTAGTAGCTATGTTTTAACTTATATTCCAATTCTCATATTTTTCTTATTTATGATGTTGTGTTCGCCTTGATTATGAAATGAAAATAAAAATTGAATTTCGAACTTCTACAAAATACTCTAATTGCTAAATTAGATGTGAATTTCTAAAAAAGTCCATATACGAATTCATTTTCAACTTTCTGACTAGGAGATCAAATTTTCAAGAAGGTAGAGATTCATCTACGAATTCATATGAACTTCACTAGAATATGTTTTATTACACTATATAAATTATTTTCTAGTTTACAGTGTATATGATAAACTCAGTATCAAATTACACAAGTATCATTAATCGGGTAAACTCCCAAAAAATCAACATTGTATATTTCTTTTCTCGGACGTAGATCAAATTCACCCTGATAACTATCAAATAGAATTGTTCTAAAGAATTCGAAGAACATGAATGAATTTCTTTTCTATATTTTATTTGGAACTATCCACCACAGTTCGCATCCATGATTATTACAAAAAATAAAACAGCCTGATTTGATTCATTTTTTTTCTATCTTCAGTCGAGTTCATGGCTTCATATTTCCAGGTATTATTATTTTTATACTATTCAAAAGCAACGGATCAATTTTTATTTTTCTCTTAGATCATGTTCATCATCATCATCATCATCATCATATTTTTCTACTATTACTTCAATCATATTCAAAAACAATGGTTTACGTTTCTATCTTAGAACTAGTTGATCACAATGACTTTCAGGTATGATTTTGTCATAACATTCAAGAAGAATGCATGTATTTTATTTTCTATCTTAGATGAAATATATCATCGTAACACTGAAGTATGATTGTTGGGAAAATATTAAAGCACATTTGATAAATTTCTTTCCCTATCTTACATCGAATTCATCACCTTACGTTGCAGGTATGCTTATTGTTACAAAATCGAACCACATGAATAAATCTAGCTCTCCTATCTTTAGTCAAATTCATCATCATCATTTTCACATATAATCATTGTCATAATGTTCAAGAACATGAAACTATTTCCTTTCTCTATTCTAGATCAAGTTCATTATCATAATTATCCGACGTGATATTGTAGAAAACTCAAAATAATGAGTAAATCTCGTTTTCCTGTCAATCAAGTTCATCATCATAGATCGCAGCTACATTATTAGCATCAAATAAATAACGGTAATAGGTTTCTTCCTAAAAGTTATATTTAATTGGGTCATCTTATTCTCACTCGTGAGGTGTTAGAATGAAATTTACTATGTCTTCATTTTCATTTCTCTTTCTAGATGAAAGTCTTCGTCGGAAACCATATTAGGTATGTAATCATTTTAATGAAATTGAAGAACACTAACAAATTTCTTTTTCTACCCTAGATTGAATTGAGCAGCATACTTCTCAGGTATGATCATTGTAATTATATTAACCAACGTGAATTAATCTGTTTTTCTTTCTTATGTCAGGTTCATCAATGATTCTCTGGTACTATTTTTTTAACAATATTCAAGAACTGTAAATAAATTGCTTTCTCTATCTTAGACTGAATTTATCATCGTAAGTTAAAGGTATATGATTAATTTTGTAACATCAAACAGCATAAATAAATAGTAAACTGAATATTTTCACTCACGATCAATTTATTTATTCCTGTTCTAGATTAGACGGCCACCAATATGAAACACGCTTCTTGTGTTTTGAAATTGCAACTAATTGGAATGTGAAAAACGACGAACTGGCATAAATGGT